TGTTAGCTTAATAAATTAAATAATTAATTATGTTTAAAATTGGACTGAATAATTATGTATGGGTTCCAGGCTCGATATTTGAGGCCCGGTAGCACCGAGTTATCCTTAATTATTATGCGTGTTAATTTCAACATTTTTAGAATTGTGTCTGTTAGCTTAATAAATTAAATAATTAATTATGTTTAAAATTGGACTGATTAATTATATATGGGTTCTAGGCTCGATATTTGAGTTAATTTTACAACATATATTAATTTGTTACTTTTGTAAGTTTATTGTTATAAATTAAATAATTAATTTTGTAAAGTGTAATTGGAGTTACTACATACTTAAACTACATAGACTCTACGCTAAAAGGCTCTACATTTTACTACGCTAAAAGGCTCTATATTTTACAACACTAAAAGGCTCTATATTTTACTACACTAAAAGGCTCTATATTTTACTACGCTAAAAGGTCAATATTACATATAAAAACAACTAACATAAAATACAAATATGAACAACAAACAAAATAAATAATATTAATTTTTTAACAATACAAATAATTTATCAAATTTTAATAATTTTTTGTACCAAAGCTAATATATCAGTCCGGGTATAAATAAGATACCAATTTAATCACAAACATAACACAAATTAATATGGAAACACATTAAACAATACAAATATGCATGTACTATACGAGTTTCGACATAAACAAAATCGAAATACCTTGATTTAAGTTTTTTGAATTTGATTGGAATCGAATTTTTGCACCCGAAAGAAGGAATCCAAAGTTTGTCTTATATGTGGGACCTACACTCCTTGCTCTTTAGGTGACGGGTGGGGCTGAATTTTTATTTTTTTTTGTTAATTTTGTCGCGGGTTGGGGGAGGGGGGGACCAGAACAATCGAAATTTTTAAAGGAGAAGGGGCTGCGTTCAGTGATCCAAGGAAGAAGAAGGGGCTGCGTTCAGTGATCCAAGGAAGAAGAAGGGGCTGCGTTTTATAAAGTTGTCCGCAGTATTATACTGCGTTTTAGGTAAAACGCAGTATAATACTGCGAACAGCTTTATAAAATGCAGTATAAAGTGCTTCTCTCATGTCTGTATTTCATCTCACATATCTATATTTACTGATAGGTGTTTCGGGTATGACAAGAGCAGCAACTGAGATGGGCACTGTATTCTCGAAAGGGAATGATGGGTTAAATGTGCTTGTGCTGAAAATACAAATTTTCTATATTCTTGTGGCTATTACATCAATAGTATTTAGTTGTAATCATTACCAATGGTTATCCGGATAGCAGTAGCATTATAGAGTGTTTTACGTCCTCTTTTGCAGATATTGTACTATCATACATACTATTTATATGATGGATGAAAAGCCTACTGGTTATGATAGTCCAATTTCATAGTTAGAGATGAGCACTATTTTGGTGACGCCGGAACACTTGAAGAAATCAAGCACACTGCTTAACCTGTTGGGCCCGTGGGCAACCTTTATCTAGTAGTATAATAAAAAGGAGGATGATTCATATAGTGACTTGTTTGGGACCGGTTGTTGTTGTGGTCGGAAGAAAGCTGAAAATTATACATTAACCACACACTATTCATCTCCCCATTTACTATTTCTCATTAAATATTATTATTTTTATTATTTAAACTTTTAATTTATCTTTTTATATATACTTAATTATGTTTATATAATATATTTACCTAATTAATTTTTCATCTTAACTTTGACGTATAATTTTGAAAAATTAATTATCGTGCATCTATTTTTTTTAATGTAAAATTGGTAGTTAATTATATTATGAGTTATAATTATATGAAAAAGATATAACCATCACAAAAAATGAAAGGTGCAAATATAAAATATTTGATGTTGCTAAAATTGAAATACATTAAAATTAAAAATACATTAAATTAAAACACATTAAAATTGAAACTACGTTAAATAACATAATAATTTAGTAGCGAGACTTGTCGTTTTCAGGTACGCCAAAATTATTATAGTACTGAGTGAATGGGGCAGACGATTGTTGTGGTTGTGACTGTTGTGGTTGTTGACTTTTTTTATACATTATTTGTTGTTGTTCTTGCTGCAAATATTCACGACGAACTGGATCCAAAGCAGAATCCACATCCATGGACATAATTTTACGATCATATTTCAATTCTTTTAGTCTTATTTTTTCTCTTTCAATGTCATTTGTTTCTTTTTGTCTCTCAATTGCACTATTCATCGCCTCAACAATTCGATTAATGACTATCTTCATATAACCATCGTCGATTTTTCTCTTTATTTTTGCTTTCTTCACCCCACTTGGTCGTTGTGATGGTGTAGAAATTACCTGCAACATCCTCATTTAAATTTACTGAAAATGATAAGTTAGGAGATGATACACAGGGTGAATTAGGGGCACGAGCCTCAGAGTACGATGATATATTAGCATACAATGAGTGTGATCTTAATGCACCAATTCGGGATGATTTGGAAGGTCCACCTCCAACAAGAGAAATGGCAGTAGATGAAAATCAACGATTTCAAGAATTTTTAGCTCGACATAGAAGAATTAAGAACAAAGATGCTCATTTTGTACTTCGTAATGCATTAATAGATCATTTATGGGAGAATACTAGAGGTTGAAGTTGAATATTTATGTAGTATTTCGAATGAATTTTATCGTTATGTAATATGTATTTAATTAATCTTGTATCGCAATAATTTCACTTTTATATGAATTATTAGTTAATCTTTAATAATTGCTTACAAATTTTAGTATTTAAAATTTTATGGAATTATTTTAATGAAAATTACAAATTAATGAAAATAAAAGATGGAATTTGTTTAATGAAAATTAAAAAATAAAATTGAACTAATTTTTTCCCTTGTATAAATCAAAGTCCAAATATTTAGCCCCAACTATAAGAACTAATTTGCCGTTGAAATACCTTTTAGATATTCAAATTTCAATGGCATAGAAAACTACAAGTGATTAAAGGAAAGAATTGAACAACCCCTACTTTTTTTTATTGAACGAAAATAAGTACTACCACTGATTCTTCTAAAAGTGAAGCTACATGAAGAATCTGCAATTTATTGTTTATGTTATGAATTTCGGAGTTGAAAACAATTTGATTCTATCTTGAAATCTCTTTTATTTACATTATATTTTAAGAATTTATATAATTTGATCTCGACTACCTAAATAAATAAGCATTCATCAAGAATCTATACTTTCTTTTTTAGTTTTTATTATACAACTCAAATATATTATTTAATAATATTTTTATATTTTTTAAAAATTATATACTCATGGACATGAATACACGCTTGCGCGTAGCTTGAGACTAGTATAATATAGAAGAGAGATGAATATAAAAAAAGAATATTCTCCTTTGGGAGAAAAAATGGGGATAGTAAGAGAAATAGCCTATTTGGTCAAGCTACTTTTTCGCCAAAAGTGTTTTTTTTATTATTTTTAAAATCGAGGTGTTTGGCCAAACTTTTGGAAGAAAAAAAAAGTACTTTTGAGGAGAAGTAGAAGCAGTTTTGGAGAAGTAGAAAAAAATAGCTTTTCTCCAAAAGCACTTTTTTGAGAAGCACTTTTCAGAAAAATACACTTAGAAGCAGCTTTTTAAAGTTTGGCCAAACACTAATTGCTGCTCAGAAGTGCTTTTCAAACTAATTAGCCAAACACCAAAAGTACTTTTGAGAAAACACTTTTGAAAAAAAAAACACTTATCAAAATAAGCTGATTTTTGCAGCTTGGCCAAACGGGCTATAAGTTGTAAATAGGGGTGGCAATTTGAGCCCAAACCCATCTAACCCGCCCAACTCGCCTAGAGATTAATGGGTTGGGTTACAAATATTTTAGCTCATGGGTCAATTTGGGCCGAGCCCAAGTTAACCCATTATATTTTATAGCTCATTCTGACCCATTAAGCAACTCAAATATAACCCATAAAACTCACCCAAAACAAAAGGTATCTCAACGTAAAAATTGCACGGGGCGCCCTATTTGGGCGTCCCTTTTTAACCTGTAGCCGCTTTGTCTTTCTGTTTGTACCCGTACCCGTTTTTTTGTTAAAATCCATTTGAAAGACTATTTTGCCCTTCTTTATTAAAAGATTACTTTCTCTCCAAGTATACGCTAGTTCTCTACTGTGTCTGTCTCTCTCTCCCGCTATTTCGCGTTTTTTTGATTTGCTCTTCTCTAAAATCAAAGGGTTTTCATCGTTGTTTCGAATTTTCAATTGCTAGTTGTCGTTGTTCCCACATTACGATTTAATCACAGGTACATTGCATTAACTTTCTGGGTTTTATTTTACGATTTAATTTCTGATTTTGGGTTTGATAGTCATATATTTATGATAGGGTTTAGTTTGATAAGTTCATTAGTTTTACTTTTACGTTTGTATTTTTAGGTTTTTTGAATGAGTGTTTATGTTGTTAATGAAAATTCTATAAATTCTTCTGTGATTAGACGTTCAAATTTTTAAAAATTTTCAGAGTTAAACAGATGATAATGATACCTTAGATAGGAGTTGAAGTTTTTTTCATGTTTTGGCATTATTTTTGATTTTGAATTTGTGTTTGTTTTTTTGCTGAATGTTGTGTGCTTGTATGGAGAACCAGAATTAAGTTTTTGTGTTTGTAACTGGTGAATTCCATCTTTAGGAGCTGAAGTTTTTTGTGTTTGTAACTGGTGAAGTCCAGCTTTAGGAGATGAAGTTTTTGTGTTTGTTACTGGAGAACTTCAGCTATACAGCTGAAGTTTTTGTTTTATACCTTTTGAACTTCAGGTCTAGAGCTGAAGTTTTTTTTTGTAACTGTCGAACTTCAGCTCTAGAGCTGAAGTTTTTGTTTTATACCTGTCGAACTTCAGCTCTAGAGCTGGAGTTTTTGTTTTATACTTGTCAAACTTAAGCCTTCTTAGGTGTTGAAGTTTTAAATGATCTTTTTTATAATGTCCTGATGTTATTATTTGTATCTTTTACTTTTTTGGACAAATGGCTCCTAAAGCACCTAAAGATCCTAAAGTAGCTAAAGAAGGCAAAGCACCTAAAAAACCTAGACTACCTGTAATAGCACCAGGTCCTTATGTCTCTGAGCCTCCACCTACAGTACTAGGACAAAAATATTTTGAGTTTAATTGCAAATTTTTTGACTCCTGCACAAAGGGATAAGCTTAATAATGGTGCATTTAGATACATTATTGCTATGGAGAATTCAAATGCAGCATGAAGTTGGTTTATTGTCTGTGTCTTTCTCGAATATTCACGAATGATCGAGACTCCATTAGTTTCAAGATTTTTGGGTATGATGTTTCCTTCACCCTTGAAGACTTTCACATTATGTGTGGTTTGCGGATCACAGCACATAATATTGAAAAACCATTTAATCGAGAGAGCACTATTCTGAAGCGCTATTTTGGTAAGTCCAAGGGTGTGAGTTTGAAGGATATTCGAAGTTTTATGACTCGCAATGTAATTCCAAAGAATGCTGTGAATCATGCACACGTATGTGAGAGTGATGATGATGCAGTTAAGCTTATGGAAATTCGTATTGTAGAGTCTATTCTGTTTGGGAAAAATACCGAGTCATGTGTGATTGAGGAGTATGCATCTATCGTTGAAGACGAGAAACTTTGTGCTGAATATCCTTGGGGTAATGTGGCTTTTGAGAAGCTCATTTATTCACTGAAACATGCATTGGACAAGCAGAACAAACATCATGCAACTGAGTATAAACTTACTGGATTTCCATATCCGTTATGTGTTTGGTTCTATGAGCGCTTCCCAGATGTTCGGAAGAAGTATGTAGCAGAGGATGACTACCTTGATATGCCTCAGGTCCCCAGGATGTTACGTTATGTATGCGTGGGTGTGATAACCCAAAGGGGCATCACCGTAGTTCTTCCTTGTTCCGCGCTTCCGAGGCCTTGAAAACCTCGCTTTTAGTTGCCTCGATTTGCGTGCGCAGTTCGGGCGCATAGCCGAAAAGTTTTTATGTTAGAATATGCGAATTTTGTGAAAATAATTTGATGGATTTTGATATTAATATGCATAATATTGACTTCGGTCAATATTTTGGGTAAACGGACCCGGACCTGTGATTCGACGGTCCCGGAGGGTCCGTAGAAAAATATGGGACTTGGGCGTGTGCCCGGAATCAAATTCCGAGGTCCCAAGCCCGAGAAATGAATTTTTG